GTGACCACTACACTAAAACCTTTCAACTTTTTCAACCTTCAGAGTCGCTCATATGTAGGGAGGAGGTTGGGTGAGCGACGTGGGCTCTACATCAAACTTTCAACTGTTTAGGGCCAGTTATATGTCAGGCCTCAATAGGAGAATGAAAACGCGACTTCGTACGTGTATGCGGACCATCATGGCATCATGTGCTGACCAACTCTTCTTCCCTACAACAACTAAGTAAGGATCAAATACTCATTAATAAATAGCTAGCACCGCAAACGGGAGTGGAAAGTATTGAAGCATTCCGAACCGTCGACGAAAGTTCAATTCTTATTGTAGAGCCCTACAATTGGTACAGGTTTTTTCTCCATGTATTTTGAACTCCCCAATAGACTCACGTGCTGGCCGAGCATTTTTTTTTACTCTTGAGCAAGAAGAAGCTCAACCAGCAGAAATTCTTCGAATCTTTCCATTGTGCTACAAGGAATACTATTGCTCTGCTCGTTCGTACCTTGACCGTTCGAAAAGTCGAATATTTCGGTAATGTGTGCAGACATCAGGTTTTGCCAGAAGAAGAAAATGTATCGATTAGAGGAATAAATTGAAGGAAATGAGTTTTGGAAACGAACCAGAGAAAAATAAAGTGCTAATATCGCACTATTACTAACGCAACAGCGCCGGCCACGAATTCCATCTTAACACAAAACCTAGGCACTTGAAATAGTAATTAGCCAGCATTGTAACCTGCCAAAGTTAGTCATCGTTCCCACCAACATCCTGTCATAACAACGATTTGGGGCCAAATAAAGTCCTAGAGATAGATGGATCTTTGCAATCCAGATGTTGATCTCGTTGCTGAGGACCAACTTCCGGATGTAAAGAATTTCAAAAATACGGAACTAACTAGAATCTGAAAAAGCGGTCGATCTCTTTACCGCCCGACAAATGGGGGAGTACTCCTCAATAGACAAAGGATAAAGTAGGGGATAGAACCTTGGGGCTTTAATCAATCCCGTCTGAGGGATGCGCCCCCGCACTCGACTTCCATTCAAAATC